CCTTTTTGGTTTTAGACGCTTTTCCGGTGTAACACTTTTCAAAATTCCCACTTTGTGTTTGGTTTTAATTATTCCTTTTGGTACCAGCGATTTCTCGCCCGCGCAAATTTCTCCTCCTTTCACAGATACAACAGGAGATGACGTTGTACGTTCTTGCTGCGCAGTTTCGCCAACGTCTTTCGGAATTCCTGCACTTTCCCCGGGAGATTCCAGAACTGTAGGTGCTTTTTCTTTTTCTGCTGACTCTTTTCGATCATCTTGGCCAGATGGATATGATCCTTCGGATAAATTCTTCCTGCTTTTTCTCTCACTTTTCGTTTTCGTCAGCCACTTCATTTCTTCGTCACTGCTTTCCTGCAACTGCTGCTGCTCCTGCTCCTCCTTTTCCTCTTTTTCACCAACCACTTTCACTTTTTTCACTTTTTTCTTTGTTTTTATTGACTGGTGATGATGATGTTTCGATTCATGTGATTCTCGCTTTTTCGGCTGAAATAAATTTACTTGTTCAATGAGTAAGAATAAAATTACCATTCATATGCATTAGGTTTCCAACAAGTAGCGCTTATTTTTTAATATCTGATTTCGTCTTGTCTCAAGAGATCGTTATTAAACAAGGTGCATCGGAAACACACAGACAGACACACACACATGCACACATATACACAAATACACATGCAGACAATCCCATGACAATATGCTTTTTGTGCAGCTGTCGCACAACACAAAACGCATAAAAAATGAGACTTTTAAAATTAGAACTTTCTGATTACATAAATGATTTCAGAAGCAAAATTTTCTAGGAAAATATTTGTAAAACAGCAGATCGGGTTTCTACTACCTGGATAACTTCCAACCGATAAAACACCTGATTGTGGTGCTGCAATAGCAAAATTCAGGACGGGGTGGTGCCGCTTAAAAAACCAAATAACCAGGGTATTTTTATTGCTTTTGTCATGGGAAACTGTCCACTTTACAATTATTTAATAGATGAAATGAACGTTTGAATCGTCAGCACAATGACTGCCAGACAATGGAGCACTGGTCAGCGTAACACAAAACCTGCCCATGTACAAATGAAACCAGGAAAACGTGAATTTTCATTTTATGCCAAGGGAATAATATGCTAAAATTTCAATTTATCGTAGGTTTGGAGAACGAAATTTGTGGATAGATATCACGTATTCGTATATACGCACACATACATACAAAGACAACTCCTCTACGATGTGCGTTTTGCGTCCAAATTTCACACAAGATGCAAAACACATATTGTCAAGGATGTCTGTGTTTGTGTGTGTGCGTGTGCGTGCGTGTGTGTATGTGTGTGTACTTGTGCTTTCGAAAAGGCAAGTGAATGGGGAAAGTTGGGAAGCTGAAATTTTTAAGAGCATATTCCCACCACCTCCCCTCCCCCCTTGTATCATCCTCTCGTTTTAAAAGCATCGCTTATGCGAACCCAGATTTCAGGTAAGGACGCCTTAAATACGTGATTTAGGAAGGTGGAGCTGGCAGGAAAACAATTTCGGGTACCGGTAAAATTAGGAAGCTGGAACTTTGCAGGAATGTCCACTGCCACATATGAACTAAAGATTTCAAATTGTACGATTGCGTCTTGCAGTCACGCCAAAGTTGGCAAGTTGGCACCACAAAAACTTGAAAACTAGCTGAATTTTGCCCGGAAATTATCTTGGAAATCGTCCCTAAATCGGTTTCAACTTGCATTTGAATTATGTTTTAGAACACATCAAAGATATTTGTGGCGATGTGGCGGCTTCGCTTATCGGATAAGCTGCGAAGCTGAAACTTTGCAAGGGTATTCTGTATTCACTTGTGATCTAAGTTCAGATTAGGGGTTAAGCTTCCTGCATACGAGCATGACAAATAATCAACTTCGTCGGAACCTCAGAAGCGAGTGCATTTTGCAGATTTCGTTATCGTTTTCTCACATCTTGTTTGCTGTCAAATTTGCATTTTCCAGAAACGATAGCCGATGGCAAAATTTGCAGTAAGCATGCATGCTGGAGGTTAAGATTTCACGCGGCCCCGTGATGCAACATTACTTTTCCAGCAAAAGCTTCTTCCTTTTCGAATGCAAGAAAAGGCTAAAGCAATGAATTCAGGTGTTAAACGCTAAAGCAGCGACAGTTCATGACGTTATCGATTAGACCGATTCAACTTTGGCGCAAAGACGTATGTTCTCAACGGCATCCTGGTGCGTCGCTAGCTTAGTTTGCATTGCGTAGATGTAAAAAATGCATAAAAACCGAACTGTCCGCTGACAAATCTTAAAATTTCAAATATTTGAACAACTCAAAGTATCTGCCGACTCTTAATAGGACTCATGTGTTATTGAATTTTTGTGAATTTGGGAATACAAATGTTGGAAATGGAATAAATATCAACGCGCACCAGGCTAGTCGGTGCGATCATGCGCACCAGGCTAGTCGGTGCGATCAATGCAACGATTGCCTATTAATGACTTTCAC